TTGCATTTTCTGTAGTTACAGTTCTGTCGGTGAGAAGCCGCTGCTGTCTCACTAACACCCTGCTTGTGAGTTCGGTGTGAAACGGACCTAAATCTGCATAAAGCTCACAGAACTGCTATTTTCAGAGCTTCCTCTCACGGTTCATGTGGCAGTGGCTTCTGTCTTCATCCACAGTCAGCAGCACTTTTCCTGCTCCACTCCTCGAATCTCAGTCATTTCCTGTGGTTTGTCCTTTCTCTAAACAGGCAGCTGATGGAGAACCAGATTGGGACAGTGGAGCGCGGCGCGTTTGATGACATGAGAGAGCTGGAGAGACTGTAAGTGTTCAACATCAGCTCACTGACATGCTGCTGAAAACAGCTATGCTGTGTGCTCAAACGCCCACTTACTCAACTACAGGCCTCCATATCAAATAAATGGCATAGCAATCATTTAAAATGATTTTAGGCAAATATGTCTTGTATGTAGATTCTATATTATACATTTTAAATTCAAAATTGGACAAAAAAGTTAAATAGAGTGTGTTTTCCAGTCGTGTTTAACATTTCTATTGTAAAACAGATATTAAATATTTAGCTCTAGCCTTCATCTTACCTCGCGCTCGACTCTTTCACCATTAAGCATCACGCTGAGAACTCAGTAAAGCCTGCCTTCTTTGATTTGATTGGTCATCTCAATCATTTTGACACTGATAATTGCTGATAGACCGCTGAAATGGACTATATTATTCTTGTATTTAAGAGTAAACAATTATTACATTACAAAAAATGTCATACTTAAAGGTGTAGTTTACCACTGATAAGATGGGCTTTTAATAAAACTTGTCTGTCTATGCAGTATAAATGTGAAAAACATCCTGAAATGAGTGCTACATGACTAGAAAAACAGAGAAATAGGACAAAAACTTCAACCCCCATAATGCATTTTAGATTTTGGTGGGAATACAAAAATGTGGAAGTCTGATGTGTAGTCTTAACAAAAGGCTGTCAAAAGTTTGCTAGATGATGTCAAATGATGTGTTTTGCATCATCCGCCAGACTTTTGCTGACAAATAAACGTGGATATCTGAGTGCAGGTAACAAGGAGAAAGAGCACACATACACATACATACACACATATTCTACTGATATTGTAACAATACAAAAACTACAAACTTACTGTTTAATAATGATTGTCCTTCCTATTTTAAAGAAGACATTACATTCCAGAAATAAAGAAATATCAACATATCAAAGTGGCCGAATACCTTAACAGGCTATAAACAAACAAAAATAATTACTTATCATTGAAAAGCTGCAATCTCTAGACAAGAAATTTAGACAAACCTTATTCTTTACATGACCGGGTATGAAGGGCCGTTCAAGCCATAACTCATTCTGGTGCTCTCACATACTTGCATTCTTCTTTCACGTACATGTTTCTGCTTACACACACACATATATATATATATATACACTTTACATACACGTTATACAGTATACACTATATACACTTTATATCAACACATACATGTATTCTGACTTCAGGATGTCACTCTCAAACCAGGTAATACATATGCAAGACTTGTTCAGCTCATCCTAACACCACTACAATTATGCTATTCAAAGTCATCCTGTTTTCTTTTCAAGTACAGTTTTTAATTTGTTTAATTTTAATTTTAAATTAAAAAATTTCTTTCTGTAACCTATTGTTCTGCACTGAGCAGGATTTTTCATGACCGATTCCAATTGCTGATTTTTTTTCACAATCAAATGAATCAAATAATAGTTTTTATGTATGTATGTATGTATGTATGTATTTATTGTTTGTTTGTTAACTTGCTCTGTTACTGGCCAAACTGGTCTTAAACAAACAAACAAAAAATAATAAAAATGCACCTGCACAAAACAGATACAGCAGAAGCTCTGAATGAGACGCAGATTCACTCTCTGACAGCAGGTGGCGCTTATGGAGCAGCAGCGATACAGCGTTTCCTTGGTTACCGCTGTAAACAAAGCAGCACAGCGCTTATAAACACTACTTTAATATACGAGGAAGAGAAAATGCCAACTTTTCTGAAGACATTCAGTTCTCTTCAGAAATACATTCATTTTAACCCCCACCCCGATTCAATACGGTTTTCTTCCAGTATTTCGAGCATCGCAAACAATGAATTTGTTCTGTCTGGTACAGTGTTTTCTCTGCTTGCGCGACTTATCCCGTCTTCAGTGCATCTGTTGACAGACTTGGTAATATTTCCACACAAATTACATTTTGGGAAACATATCACTGACCCTAACCTGCAGCCTCCCACTTTATTCATTTCCTAAATTGTCACGTAAGTGGAAAAAACAAATCCATAGACGCTTATAATAAGTGTATCTGGCAACATGGCAGAGGCTGCGCCTGCGCCCTCAAACACAACTCGCTCAAGGGACAAGGCCAAAGATGTAACATTTTCATGATTATATTCGTTTTTAAAACCCCAATAGCTGAAACACTTGTGCGGCCACCACATCTATACCTCAGCCATGACCTGTCCTGAATACAACAAACTCTCTCACACATACACATTCTTCTGTTACAGACACATGTTTTCTTCAGACATAGGCCTACATGCATTTTCTTCTTAAATACATATATTATTTATCATATTAAATGTATACGTTGAATACATTTACATAATAGCAAAATGTATACATGTAAAATATATGAATGTAAGAGGAAAATGTAAGAATGTGTGCATTAAAATATGTGATTGAGAGCAAAAACGTATGTGTGAAAGGAGAATATAAGTGTGTGAGAGAGCCAGAATGAATTACGGCTTGTATGGCCCTCCATAACCGGGAGCACAAAACAAAGAGAGAACTTTTAATTAATTTAACATTTATTTAATTTACAGACAGTGTTGTGGAGCTAAACTCACACTTCACTCATTCTTTCCATCAGCTCTAGATGTGTTATTTTGCCAGTGGTTGTGAACTAATTTGCTTGATTTGAATAGTTTCCAGCATTCTTCAGGAGGTTTGCTGTCATTATCTAAAGCATCTTCAGCTTAAGTTCCCCTGAAGTTACCAAGGTTAAGCATTCAAAAGCTTAATCAGCAATTTTGCATCACAATCATGGGTCTGTAGATCTAGTACTGTTGTCTTGTGTTTGCTCAATCTGTGAATGTGTTTGTTTCTTCTTTTCTCAAAGACGTCTGAACAGAAACCAGCTTCACCAGCTTCCAGAGCTTCTGTTCCAGAAGAACGCGGCTCTGTCCAGACTGTAAGTCCCTGCTTTCTGCAGTTTTCTGGATTGATTTTCAAGTGATGTGTACGATGAACTGATGATTAATATTCCATGATGCATTTGTAAAATAATGTAGTTAATATGAGTTCGCATTGAAGCAGATATCTAGATACAAAGGAGAACAAACAGGAGAACCAAACCTGAGAACTCACTTGACAGCCGTTGGAAAAATTTGATAGAAAACTTTTAACAGGTTATTGCATTGTCACTGAGTGCATGATAAATCAGCATTTTGATACCTGTGTTGTCACCTGATTGTATTTTGAGTGATTTTGGTGGAAGTTAGGATGGATGATGTTTCTGTCCTGCTTTGGTTCAGGAGCTCACAGTGTGCTTAAAGTGAAAAACGTCCTCAGTATTCATATATTGGCTATCATGTATTAAGTTAGATGTAAAACAGATGTTCTTTCTTTGTGTTTTTTATAGTTATGAATGAGTTTTTTGCTATAAGGCAGTCTATGACAGTGTTTGCTGTTGGTTTTAATGATCATTACCCATGGTTATCACTGCATAGAGACCCACGATTCTCATTGCTGTAATTCACTGATGCTTCTTCCCCTTTCAAATTTATGAATTTTAATGCAGATCCAGAAGCATGCTTATTCCCTTTTTTAGTAATTACTATTTGTGCTGAGCTGAAATGTGTTAATATTCGGCTGGGTTGAGGATTTCGATTTAAAAAAGGAAAATAATCAAATTAAACAGTGCTGAAATAAATACTCAAAGATTCTGAATTTCTAAGAACTTTCAGGAAAGTCCATTCAGTTCAAGCTTACTATTCTAAAAACTGAGGCAGAACGCGTCCTGTGTGAACAACCCGTAATAATCTTTTGTTGTGTTGGAAAAGCGCTCGTCCTGCTCTCGTCTTATTATTTCGCCTATAAGGCACCAGTGGATGAGCGATAGAGGTCATGGTGTTAAACTAGGTGTTGATGTGATGCCGTGTTGGCAGTCAATGTGACGTCACAATGTGGAAGAAACAGACAGTCAATCATTTTTGCAGCTTGCTTTTGAGTGCTTGTTCCTGAAACTATAGTACAGCAAATTTGGATTCCTCATGACCCATGATCCTGTCATGCACCAAGTCTTAAGCCCCGTTCTCACCAAGAACGATAACTATAAAGATAACGATATTAGCGTCCACACCAGCGAACGATATCATCTGTTTATTCTAAGCGCACACTCGTCTGCCGCTTTAAATTCTCAAGCTCGTTACAGCAGGATGGATTCTGATTGGCTGTCAATTTTTTATCGTTCATCAGCGGGGAAAAAAATCGTTTTGAAAGTGATTCCAACGATATCGTTTCTCTTTGTCTTTATCGTTATAGTTGTGGTGTGGACTCTGCTATTCTTTAATATTGAGAACGATTTCTAGAACTATATCTTTATCGTTATCTTTATAGTTATCGTCCTTGGTGTGAACAGGCCTTTAAGGTCTACTTGTGACTCTCAACGCTGATTTTGTCTCAAGATGTAGGAGTTCACTTGATGTTAATTTAGACAATTAGCATTTTGAGACAAAGCATGTGCTTAATCTAAATGGGCAGATTTTAAGCTATGATAACATTTAGGTTTAGTGAATGAAATTAAGATGATGAACATTTTAAGTTGCAGAACTTGTAATTTTTACTGTGATATGAACTGTGTCTAAAGATTATAGTTCTGTAATGACAACTCTCGGAGGGATTGGCATGGTAATGTACATGACAATGTTAATGTGTTTGGTCTTGGCGGAATAGATCTGCTACACTGCTGCGGCAGAGCAAGTACCGAGACTTGCTACTGCCAATACATCCACAACATGCTGCTGTGAGCATGTAAGAAATACTGCTGCTGCAAATATAACATACATGAAATAACCATGTGAACCGCATGTATTAATAATATATTAAAAAAATAAAAAATAAAAGTGACGTGACGTGTGGCAAAGTATGGTGACCCATACTTGGAATTAGTGCTCTGCATTTAACCCATTCAAGTGCG